TTCATGGCCAAGTGCTGGGCGACGTACGTCGTGTAGAGCGGTGTTGCGCTGATGAGTTTGAGTTTGCGAATGTCTTTGAGGTGGAGCTTGTGGGCAGGCGTAAGCGCGTCATCGTTGCGGAGGCGGCTCGTAAGGTCGGAGGTGTCGAGGTCTAGCGAGACCGAGATGCGGTACTCGACCGGATCGTCGTCCATGCGCGAGTAGCCCGAGCTAATGCACGTGGCGCGGAGCGCCGGATCCCGTCGCTCGGTTGCACTGGATTCGCGATCTCGAAAGAAGATGAGGTACGCCAGCGAGATGGTCGTAAAGCCGCCAAAGACCAACACGAGCGGCCCGTAGAGCGCTAGAACGCATCATGTTCCATAAGCGCAAAGTCGATAAGCGGATAGGATCGTACAGCCAAAGAAGGACAAGGTGGCGTTGGCGTCAGTGACGCAGACGACGGCCCGACCGAGCATCATGAGCTGACCAGAGCAGCTCGTGAGCGCAACTGTGCCCAAGGTGAGCCGCGGCAGCGCGACAAGCGCCTTGTAGGTGGCCGTTGAGACGTCAAATACCGATATCACATTGCCTGAGAGGTCCCTACATGATATATATTTGGCTCGTGAGAAAATGTGCAGAAGAGGACAATGTAGTACAGCGATTGAAGCGACGCGGGAAAGGTGGGGTTGCGGATACTCCGCAGTTGGTTGTTTGAGAGGTTTCTGCCCAAAGAGACAATTCGACCAGCGCTCAGGAAAGGAGTCATACGTACAACACGCGGAGGTTTTGGAATGCAGAGAGGCGAGCTAGGGACGCACCGTCGTTGATGTTGTTGTTTCTTAAATCTCTAGCGCAACACAAACGCAAGTGAGCCGTCGAGTGATTTTGCATCGGATAACTTACAACGTCTGAAGTGCTGGAATCACTGGGATGCTGTTGATGGAGTTGAGTGCATTTCCACTCAAGTTTCTATCCATATTCAATAAGTGGGAAAAATGGTTAGCCGAGGCGACGTACAGCGTGGTGAGCACATTAGACGGTTTATAGCTCGTAATCGAAGCGATCTGATTGATGGAGATATCACTAGACGCATCGTGAGTCGTCATGGTTATCACGCATACTCATACAGAGAGGATACATTGGACGGGAGCTCTTGCAGGCTGGTGATGTTGGCGCCGCGGAGGCTTAGTGCGCCGTTGACGACGATGGTTGCTGTCGTGTTGCCCGAGGTGCTGTCGACGAGGCAAGGGCCGTCGGTGGTATCGAAGCTTGGGCATGTGCCATACAAGGTTATGCGACCTTGGGCGACCGCAAACTGGGCGAGGGCGAGGAGTACAAGATACCTCGACATTTTGAAAATGACAAATTGGGACGGCGGTGCCAGCGTCACGTCATTGATTGGCTGGTTTTACAAGATACTCGTGCACAGCAACCAATCAAATCAAAGTACAATGTCGAAGATCGCAGAAGTCCAGTGGCGGGTGTTGGACACTCGATTTTTTGGAGCTTGCTGTCGGCTGCGGACATGTCTTCGGTAGCGGACGGCCGAAGGTGCACTGTCGTGCATTGCTTATCGTTGTACACGATTAGTCTATTGACAGAGGGGACGAAGTCTTATGTAAATATATGGAATACTAGGACGGTGCTGGAGAATAATTTGGGTCGAAAATTAGAGAAGGGACCTCGGATGCGTACGTTGACGCCATAGCGCAATCAAAGAAACCATGTTTTGCAATGGTCATCATGGATGATGCTCCGTGTCATTGACATGACGCTTCAAGAAACATCCTTCGCACTCGACGCTACAACGTACGTTCTTCTCGACACCAAGGACGTCCTCCTCGACTGCAGTTGCGAGATGCCCCTGCGTGCGGATGCAAATACTGGTATATTCAGGCCATGGACAGGATGTTTGCAACCAAAATGTGGCAAAAATTGTGGAACTTTGCGGAAAAACAGCATCGATATATACCTTGCAACATGACCTTGAATCTAGCTTTGACTCATAGTAGCTAGGACTCTGGGCGCCTCATAGCCCATGAGGCGCCCAGAGTCATTTTGTGAGGTGCATTAACGACGAGAGTGTGAACCCGCGATTAATTGAGTTTGGATGTTGACCACCTTTGGTTGGGGTTTATTTGCGCCCAAATTTTATCATGCCCAATATGACACGGATAGGTTGTTCCAACTTTGTACAATATATTTTGCGTCATCTATGTCAAATTAGTCCAAGATGCTTTTCAAAACCGCCGCAACCTCGGCTGCTGTCGGCCGACGTGTCGGGTCCGCGTCCACACAGCGC